AGGATGGAATCCCACGGCTGTGTCATGCCATAGCCTGTAAGGAGACAGTGTAGGTAGGATCCAAGTAATTTTGCTTCAGCAAGTTTCCCTGGTTGCTTTCCCCCTTTGTCTACCTAGGCCCTAGTTCTTGCATCCAGCTCTATAGCCTAGGGAATTCTCACATATTTTGTGGCAAATGGCATATCTTAACAAAGGATGCAGATAAAGACATACATAGGGGAAGGAATGATGGAAGAGGCGGGGAGCTTCCATGGCCTCTATGAGCATGCTACCCTCCATGTGTTCAGCTAGGTAGAAGCTCTCTGAACCCTGTTTTTTGGGTTTTGATGGAGGTTTAATTGTATAGGCATAATTGATTAAACTGTTGGCCCGCCATTGGAAATTAACTTAACCTCAGCCTTCTCCGTGTCCTGAAGGTTGGGGATGGGGCTGAAAGGCTAACCCTCTAATTCCCAATCCTAGAGCTGCCTAGGAGCTCCCAGTCATTGGTCAACTCACTAGCATACAAAAAGGCATCAGCATGTGGAGTTTCTACAAATTGTAGTTGTATAACAGTAAGCAAGGTCCAGCACAAAATATATATTTCATGATAATACACAGGTGTATACCAGCCAAATCAGAATACAAAGTTGGAAAAATTATGCTTTCTATTCAGACATGAGTCTCATTCACCCCGGCTGGAGTTGCAGTGGCTTAAACATGACTACTTTCATCCTCGAACTCCTAGGCTCAAGGGATCCTCCCACCTCAGCTTCCAGAGTAGCTGGGGCTGCACCTACACACACACAGGTATACATTCATGCATTCATTCATTTATTTTTGTAGAGAAGGCGTTTTGCCATGTTGCCCAGGCACATCTCAATCTCCCAAGCTCAAGCAATCCTCCTGCCTCAGCATCCCCATCTGTTGGATTATAGGTGTGAGCAACTTCACCAGGCCAAAATTTTCAATAGTGTCTATTATGTGAGAATAAATGAACAAAACATGTGCAAAACTTCTTTGGAGAAAACTGGAAAACTTTATTGAGATTTTTAAAAGTCAAATATCTCAGATAAATGCAGTTTGCATTCTTTCAGCTCGTCTTCGTTTAAACCTGTGGTTTCTCTTCTGCTGCAAGAGAAACATAACAGGAGGGAACATTACTAGCACAACTGTATTCAGATGAAATTAAAGGTATGCAAAGGACATCAAAGTTTTCATTTTATACAATGGACTAAAACCAGAAGCCCAAGAGTCACCACATGGCTAGCATTCAACTAGACCTCTGTAGACACTCTGAAGATACACTTCCATGCATATACAGTAGCAACATTGTTTAAGCACACCCTGCTTTTAGTGCTAGAAGGAAACCAAAAGACAGTCTAAACTCAGAACACATTAAATCAAGTGAGCCTATTAGAAGGGGCTTAGATTAGATAGCAAACATTGTGTAGACTTTTACTCAAACTACAACCAGAATACAAAAAACCTAAGAAACAGAAGCAATTTCTGAAAAAAACTCCTTCAGAAAAAAATATATAATGTAATGTTTTGGCTTGAAACTATGGCCTGGATGCCCAATAGGCTCCTGCAAATAGTCTGAAAACTATCTGGCCGGGCGCGGTGGCTCACGCCTGTAATCCCAGCACTTTGGGAGGCCGAGGCGGGTGGATCACGAGGTCAAGAGATCAAGACCATCCTGATCAACATGGTGAAACCCCGTCTCTACTAAAAATACAAAAAATCAGCTGGGCATGGTGGCGCCTGCCTGTAATCCCAGCTACTCAGGACACTGAGGCAGGAGAATTGCCTGAACCCAGGAGGTGGAGGTTGTGGTGAGCCGAGATCGCGCCATTGCACTCCAGCCTGCAGAACAAGAGCGAAACTCCGTCTCAAAAAAACAAAACAAAACAAAACAAAAAAAAAACTATCTTTTGAGAAAACAGTTAATGTCACATTAGGGAATACATAAGTGAAGTGAACAGAAAGGACAGTTTTGTGTTTTTTTCTCTCTATTTTGTGGAAGTGCAATAATATTCCTTTGAGCTAGTTTGCCCTTCTTTTTTCTTTAACATACACTAACCATTTGCATCCAGTTTTAACCTGTAGTCCTCATGTCAATATAAATAATGATACATTTTTCACTTTAAAGTATTCTGGTTTGTATAATTAATTAAATGGTCATATAAGTTTTAAGGGATCACCATCATGATTGATATTAAAATGTGAAAGAGTTATACATCATAACCAGTGTGGAAAAAAAAGAAATGGAGATGGAAACAAATCGAAGAGTTAGACATCTGGAAAAGCTAAACATTTCCTTCTAAAAGTAACTGTTTTTGAGGGACAACTGGCAAATTTCACAAGTCCTTCCACAGCCTTTGTGATGTTTAGATATTGAGGTATTACAGGAATATATTAACGTAGGCATTTCTGGCATTTCAACCGTTTCATCCACACTCTGAAAACATTAGTGTTCAAGAATGTATTCCCTTTCAGTTATGCCCTACATTCAATACTTGTGCCTTGTTCACTCATATGCCATGTTGTGCCTTTTCCATTTTCTTCAAGATTGTTTAATCTACTGGATGCTCCCCTTCCAGCTATTTCTCCAAAAAAAAAAAATAAAATAAAAAACCCAATCTATTAAATGTATTACTTTCAGATTAGTTTTGCTTTTGTTAAGGATTTGCATCTTTCATTTACCGCCTGTTTCCTTTTCTCTTAAGTTTATTCTGTGACTCATTTATTATTTTTTAATTTAATATTATTTTCTTGTATCACATAATTTACTGTCTATTTTAATAAGATATACGTTTAATGCTATGACTATCCTAAGAATGCAATTGAAGCTTGGTCAATAGGCTCCTGGAAATCGTCTGAAAACAGTCTTTTAATGTAGATAGTCTAATAAAGTTGTTCAGCAGTGTGGAGTACAAACATTTAGGTAATTTCTCCCCTAAACATGCAGTGCTTCCTTTCAATTCAGACGTTCTTTTAATTAAGTCAGCAATTTGGGAAACATGCATAAAAGATATCTATTTCGACCACTCAGGACTTAGTATTCTTTGAACTTTAAATCGTATCGCTTGAAGACTCAAGGCAGAAACCTGTAATATATAACCTCTGATATGGTTAGAGGTTACCATGTGTGTCTTCAATCTAATTACACACAGTAGCTCACGAAGACTTACAGCAGGGCAGGGAACACGCTGAGCACAGGCATCTTACAACCAGTTTGGACATCACTGATTTATATGCATGATCCCTACTTCATGAGCCAGAAAACATGACTGTCTCTTTCTGTTTTATTATTCAGTAATTCTTTTTTTTTTTTTTTT